GGCTATATATATATATTGTCATGGCATTATAACTGGGAGAAATGGCGCATACTTACGTTGTTTTGTGTTTAGCTTAGTGTAGTTCAGCTGTTAGCCATTCCACGAGACTGTACCTTGGTTATCCTTTGTCTGCGAGTGAACATGGTTCTGTAACATAAAGTTGCCTTAATTTAAGATATTACGGGTACATACAATTTCACGCTGATTGAATACTTGTGCTGGTGCTTTCCAAAGTTTTGTGAAATTATGTATTATTAATGACAGAGAGTAACACAGAAAAAAATACTCTACTTACAATGATTTACAATTCAAGCACGCTTTCCAGTGAACAATATCAGGCGCACGCTAATACATGATTATTTGGACCACCTTATACCAGATTATCAGTGTCGACGCCCATGGTGATAGGTCTGGTTAATATATAATTAGGTGGACAAATCAAGAAACTAAGTTGTTTGTTTTCGCTGACTGTATTCGAATCCCGTTTCATGTACACCTTATTCTGGCAATGCTAGTGCCATTTGTTTAATTGTTTGATAAATGACAATCTGTTTTCTAATGAAATCACTGTTTTTATTATTTCAGTTTCATGTAACATCTAGGAGTATATAATACGACATATCAGTATGGAGAGGTTTGGGGGAGACAGGCATAAATGTAGGAAGTTTGACGATATACTTGAATATCTTGGTGAATTTGGGACATATCAGAAACGATGTTACTATCTACTTTGCCTCATGGCCATCTTACCAGCGAGCCATGTATTCGCCCAAGTGTTTTTAGCCGCTGAGACAGACCATTGGTGCTATGTTCCAGAGTTGGATGAATATGAATGTAGTTTAAACAACTCGGTAATGTTTTGCCAAGATATGATGAAGAACCACAGTATACCATTAGAAGAGAGCTCTTATCAGTGTGACAGTGATTTGGTTTACAGTAATTGTGAACGCTATGAAAACAAGACATACACCAATGATACTATGAAATGTAATCATGGATGGATATATGACCGATCACAGTACAAATCATCCATATTTCAGGAGGTGCGTCTATTATTGTTAGTTTTATAATAAAACAGATAGGTAGATGTACACATTCATATTTTTGTGTTGTAAAGGTTCTCCGGTTACTGATTCCACTGCTAACAGTGAAATTTAGAGGGCGTTGTCAAATATCAGTGACTATGGGACCCCCATAAAGTTAGCAAGAGAAATTATAGGTTTTACAAAACATTTACATAATAAATAATTAACCCGTTGTTTATTTCATGTAACTCTTTTTTCATTTTAAGTATTTTAATTATTAATCGTTATAATGTTGACCAATTTTCATTTAAAATTTTTTTCGATGTAAACTATTTCCACCAATTTGCTATAAGATTTAGATTCTATGAGTTGTTATGATTTGGTTTTGTTTGTGAACTATTTATATTAAGTGAAATGTATTTTTATTGTAGTTTGATTTAGTGTGTGGTCGATACTACCTGGGAGCACTATCATCTTCTGCGTATATGGCTGGCTTGTTCATTGGGGCAGTTGGATTCGGGGCTCTTTCTGATAGGTTGGTTATTATTCAATATATTCATTTTGTGCGTTCTTAGTGAACAATCAAATAGTAGCACAATGCACCTATTAAATCCGATGCTCGATAGATCGTGCTACACATTGAACTGATAATATATCTGTACCATATCCATTACTTAAAACATTACAAAATAATGAAGTAAGCAAACCGTTTTTGGACGACATGACATTCGTGTCTGAAATACACTGCATTAGATGTAGTCTTGTATATTTCACATATATTTCAGGATTGGGCGTTTACCAACTTTGATGTTATCAGCATTGTGCATGGCGATTCCAGGAACAGCCTGTGCCTTCTCACCAAATATCCAAGCCTACTCCATATTAAGGGTATTTATAGGTGCTTCACACATGGGAATGTTCATGGTGTCCTTCGTTTTAGGTAAGATTATGCCAATTAAGTGGTGCTCAATATTCTTTAATTGTATGTCAAGCTTGGTTAGTATATAAACACCAATTTATTTCATTCTCAATATCTCAACACTGTAGCAACCGAACTCGTTGGACCCTCAAAGCGAGTGTTCGCCGGAGGTGTGATAGAATTTTACTTCAGTTTTGGATATATGCTATTAGCTTTTCTGGCATACTTTATCAGATACTGGTGGATACTGCAGTTGTGCTTGTCATTACCGGCCACAATTTT